TTGCTGTCATAATCTAATCTATGGACACTGCCAATTATTACAAAGAGTCAGTGTTAAGAGAATAGCTGAACAAAACAGAGAAAAACAGAGACTGCCTCGTTAGAGTACATAATAAAATGAACAACATATCAATAAATATCTATGTTATTAATGAATATACTCTGTGATTCTGAATATAATTAAGATGGGTCTTAAGAGATAATATGACCTCAAGCCATTAGGAAAGACAACAGGAAAATATTTCTTCTTACAGATGAGTTTCACAAACTGTGACATGTACTATTGCTCCATTGGATATTTCTTTCTTTCTTTTACCTTCTTTCCAGTGTACGTGAAAATCTGAATACATGATCTGGGAGGTTCCATGATGCATTTTGTACAATGTTTAAAGTAAATGGAAACAGGAGGGGGAGCTCTCATCACACCAGCCAAAGAAGTTAGGGACCTGTGGGGAGTTCTACTTACCCAAGACAGGAAGAGAAGGGAGAGCTACTCTATCCCTTTCTCCTCCCTACCCTTCCTTCCTTTAACCCCTGATTTTATACTGGCTTTTCTATGTCATGTGATAATGAAGTTGCTATGGTAATTATCATGAGTTTCCCAACCTTACAGTAATGCCCAAACAAAATCCCACATATTTTGCTAGCATCCCCATACACTCTGTCACTGATGCCTTACCTGATACAGCTTTCCTTTCATGCATTCTTTTTAAAAAAACAATATGTTGTTTTTCCATATTTAAACAGGAGAATCTGCTTTTCCATTTATTTCTTTCAAAGAGAAATGACCTCAGTTACACTGCTAGGAAAAGGTCTCTTAAATTGCCTCTAAATTGAAGTAGGACAAGATATTTAGTTATGTTGAAGTGTGGCTTTTGCTGTAGGTATTTTTAAATTATGTTAAGGGCACCTAGAGTGCATGGATACATGTCCTTTAAAAATATGTGACTCTCAGTAAATAGAAACAGAAAAAATAGAGAGTAAATTAAACACTTGTGGGGAATTTTTTTCAACAACCTATTTGCATGTTCCCTTTGTATACACAAATTTTGTCTTTTGCAAGTGCAAATGATTGTGGCCGTAAAACTGTGAGGAAAAATTTAAGGCCAGATCCTCTTCCAACTGAAATCAAGTTTTACTAGTGACTTCAATAAGTGGAGGACTGAGCCTTAACAGGCTGATTAATGCCCCTCTGAAATTCTGGGCGAAGCCCCTAGCCCCACATAAGTCAACGGCAAAACTGCCATTGATTTCAGTAGGGTCAGGATTTCACCCTTAGTCTGTAAGTACTTGTTAAAATCGTAAGTACCACTCAGGCAAACACTTACATATGTGCATAACTTTACATGCATGAGCAGTCCCATTGCACTCAAACAACTAAAGTTAAAGGCATGCCATCATTTATAGGGTGTTAAAATGCAGAGTATCAAACAAACACTGTTTAGCCATTGGAATGGTGAGGATTCCTTCCAAATCATGCAGTTATTCTCACACTAGAGATATGTGCTGTCACCGTTCAGTAAATATATGTAATTAGTTATGGCCTCTCTAAGGCGAACAGCAGATTTATTTTCATATACTTTTTGGAAATGTTCAGTCCTATTCCATTGTAAGATTAACACAAGAGGAGCCACTTTCACAATTTCTGATGTTCTAACTCTTCATAGTAAGTGGATGAGCCACTATTAAAACACAAAATTATCTCTTTTTCTTGGCTTCTGTCTCTCAGATGACAAGTAGAACAATTCATACTCAGCTTAGTTCCAAAACTTACTTCAGTAGTTGAAAATTTATAATAAATCATACCTGTAATTTGAACATTCTAAATACAGGAATATTAGAAACTGAACTTTTCCTAGGCAACACCAGGCCCTATGTCATCACGGGATATTCCAATAATAAACACTGGAATGAAAACACCAGTTTTCAATGAGGTATGACTCCTGACAGACGCCAAGAGGTGATCCATGGTCATTGCAAAATAGAAACAGCAGCAGCACTTCTGTACCTATCTAAAGTCAATAGTAGATATACAGACAAACAGTACATACTCTGGGATGATCAGGATGTTAAAGATTTATTGGCAACTGTTGAAAAGCAGGACTTCTGAGGATCAGAACTCAGACTTAGCAGCACTAGATTCAAAGTGATGCCTGTTTTATAGCCAAATCCTGCAGTCCTTAGACAGGAAAACTGACAGTCAAAATTCCCACTGAAGGAAAATGCAAGGAATACCAGATTTGGTCCTAAGAGACAATCAATCATATTTGTCCACTCACTAATTTAACTGGCTTAGTCCTAAAAAGCAATTAGTCATATTTGTCCACTTACCTGCTTTAATGGCTTGAGGCCATTTGCATTGCTTTGGCCTGTTGTTGCACTCTGCAAAATTCCTGTTGCTTTGAATGGAAGTTTTGCCTGTGTTAGGAGTGCAGGATTGGACCCTCTGTCAGATTATTTATCTGCTTTGATTATTAGAAAAACAATGCCTTATTACCATAATTACAGCAAATGTTCAGAAGAAGAATTTCAGAAGAAATTATTATTATTAAGTTAGAAACACATATTAAAAGATATAATAATACTTAAGCATATGTCATAGACAGTGTATTTCATGTAAAACTCTAAAACTAGCACTTTTGGTACATGGTTTTTTTAGAAGTTTCTTTAAACAGAACCATCATGTCCACATATTTTTCATTAAAACTGCCTTATCAGCTCATAGTAGAAACTGATACTTTTCTCTAATACAAGAATTCACTTTACCTTTTTCATCAGGATATATCCATAAAACTGAACAGGTGGCAGTTCAAATCACAATTGTCTTCTGAGGGAGACAATGTATTAAAGCTAAAGGCTTCAAAAAGTTCTGGTGCTGTACATGAAATTATGTGAGCAAATTTTCATCATTAGATTTAATTTATAACCGATGAAACAATACTTGAAGATTTTGCTGTTTGATAGGAGCTCAACAACAGTGATTCAGTTGTAATGAGTTTCGAACAAGGAGAAAATGAGGGGCATTAATATTTTTCCACTAGAGTAAAAAAAGCACCTTTATGACAAATTCACAATGAATTTGATGTTACATACCAAGTACTGAACATCTCTGCAAATTCACACAAATTATTTTGCAAAAACCCATTACATTTAAAAATATTACAAAAAAATCTGAATACCTTTTAGCACTTGTGCATATAAGGCCAGAATCTGCATTTCTTGTGGATGCAAAACTCCCACTGAAATGCATGATAGAGCCAACACTGTCTATACTTTGCTTTTGTGCAGCATTCTATGTACAGTATGTATTGTTGCATCTACACTGATGCAAAGGAAGCCTATACAAGAGCCTTTGCAGGTTTTTACTACTTTGCTAAACTGTATGATCAAATCTGTTTCCCTGCTTACTCATTATTTGTTTAGGCTGTGATTAAAGTTATTCTTTTTGTTGAACAGTTCTGGTGACTGTACATCTACATAGATGTAGGCTACAACTTTCCAGCCTGACACGTTTTGATGATTACTCCTCCATTAACAAGCCAAACATATTTTAAATCACAAATTCTTCATATTTTCAGTACTGCAGAGCAAACAAATAAACAACAGTGACTCTATGTCTCTAACCGCTCAACCATCTGAACAGAGTAAGCATGGCTTATTCTAGTCTCTAAAGGAGAAAGAGTTCTGCTCAACTTTTTATATTCACAAATGTCAGTGATTTAAGCTTAAGAAATAAAAAATGTAAATTAGACATTGTAACATACAAAACGAACTTAGCTTTGACAAGCTAAGCAGAGATCTTTATGGAGAGCCTAGTCATACACATACAGAACACATTTTAGCTTTCAAATATATTTAAAAAAATGTGTAATTCGAAGCTGTACCGCAGTCATAATGAAAAATTCTTTACAATTACAATTTTGACTTATGGAACAATGGACACCCCCATATCGCATCGTATCAGGTAATTACGAACTGCCAAGGAGTAAGAAAGCAAAACCCAAGAAGAATCAATGTAACCCCCACAGTGTGTACCGTAATTCAGTACCTCATTTCTCAAGTACCTCCTATCAAACCATTCATTCTCATTTCCTAGGCACAGACAAAAAAGAAAAAAAAACCCAACAGAGTTAATCAAACCTTTTCATGACAGAGACAGCTTCTCAGAGCACATACCCAGGTTTGGAAGTTGAGGAGGAGGAAAAAGGAAAGGGCGGGGGGGGGATATCAGAAAGTGAATGGCAGCTCGTTCAATGAAAGCTTGTAGCCGCTTTCAAACCATGAGTGCCATGAGTTCACCTAAAGGGGCTGGGAGTGGGGGGACTGTTCTGCAGCGGGGCTGGGCAGGATCGTGGAGCCTGGCTTAGGAACACGATGCTTTGCGAGAGACACTTCCTGCAGGGGTCGGGTAACAGGCAGCCCAGCAGCGGGGAGGCGTTTCTCCGGCCGGGGAGATGCTGGGGCTGAGAAGCAAGCGTGTGTACTCCCGTGTGCTGCACGGCCGGGCCTCCCGCGCTGTTCTGCCCACGGACTGCGATCGCCCAGCCGGGCAGGAGCCAGCCCCTGCGGGGGACACGCAGCATCTCCCGGCCCAGCCAGCCCGAGCGCTCCCAGGCCACCCTGACCCCACTGCTGCGCCTCTCTCCCCCGGCGGCGGCGGCGGCGGCTCGGCTCGGCTCGGGCTGGCGAGCGGGGGTCTCGGAGGCGCCCTGGCAGCTGCCCCAGCGCGCTGGCCCGGCCGGGGGAGGATGGGCTGGGACAGAGCGCGCCCCCTGCCCCTCCCCCGGCGGGCTGTGTGCGTGTGAGCGCGGGGCGGGCGGGGGGCTCCGGCTGCACTGGGGGGAGGAGCTGATGAGCAGGGACGCGAGGAGAAGCCCCCAGAGCCGGAGCCGCGGCGGATTCGGTGGCCGTGGAAGCCCCGCCCGCTCCCGGAGCCGGGGGCCGTCCTACCCCCCTCGCCTTCCACCCCCTCGGCTCCAGCCGCTCCGCAGAAGGAGCGGGGCTGGCTGGCGCGCTCGCTCGCTCCCACTCCCTGTCTCTCTCTCCCTCTCTCCCAAACACACGCACCAGGCTCTCCCTCGCTCGCCCATGCAGACAGCAGCCGGAGCGGCGGAAGATGGCTGACTCCACAGGGCATCACCCACCCTCCAGCCCGCCTGCATCCCCGACCCTCCCCGCGCCGCTCTCGCCTCCGACCCTCCCTCACGCCAGCTTCCACCGCTGAGCCAGCGACCCCCGCCCAGCCCCGCCGCCCTCCCCACTTCTGCTTCCCAGCCCCCCCACGACACCAGCAGCCATTTCATCTCCACCAGCCAGACACAAAAAATGGCAGAAATGGAGAAAGAAGGGAGACCTCCCGAAAATAAAAGAAGCAGGAAGCCGGCTCACCCGGTGAAAAGGGAAATCAACGAGGAGATGAAGGTATGTGCCTGTGAGGGGGAAGGGGGACGCCTCTGCCCCCCCCCCCCAGTCCTCCACCGGGCAGGGCAGTGAAATAAGAAAGGATCTCTTGTCATTTTTTTTGGTAGGATGCACTGAATGTGTCTCAGCTCCGCCTCCTGGGCTGAAAACAGAGCCGAATTCACAGGCTGCAAAGCCAGCTTATTGACCGCCTTTGATTGCTTGATATATATTTTTTAAACTCTCCCTCCTTCGGTTTTTTAAGCTCCTTGGGTGCATTTTCTATTACAATCCTCGCAGGTTAACTGGAAAGCTGTGAAGTTAGGGGAGGAGGGAGGGCTTTTTCAACACTGGCTTTCTCTCCTTTTTCAGTAGCCAGCTGCAACCGTGTAATTAAAATGTCAAAGTGAAATGTTATGGTCTGAGCTGCACATCATTTTTGGGCTTAGAGACAGGGACTCTCTTTTCTCCCCCCTCTCTTCTTCCTTGCCTCCTCCTCTGTTCTACATGCCTCACTTCACAGTTAATCAAAGCAGCATAGGTGTTGTTGAAAGAGAGCTATCCGAGGGGCTGTTGTTGATAGGAGTCTATTTATTGTTTGGAGTCTATTCCTATCTGATAGGAAACTGTGCCAGTCCAGCTGTGTTCCAGAGGCAGCGCTGGAGGCTGTTCCTCCAGCTGTTAGAATGGGAGCGATTGCACAAAAACACATTTCAGGACTTCTTTTAGCATTAGGTCGCAGGTCTAGGTTGGACTGGTCCTATTTTGTGCCTTTATTTTCCAAGTCTATTCCCTGACCTGTATTTATTTTATACCTCTGATGTATTTTCCCCATGAGTCATACACAACTAGCACGTATTGCAGGACTTCAGCTGAACTTACTTTTTAAAAATGCAAATATAAATTAAAACAGTGCAGTTTATATAATTTATATATATATATATATATGATAAAACTACCATTATTTAATGTAAATGGATAATTTATACTAAAACAGAAAGTCATTGGAATATTGCTGCAAAAATGTCATTATAGATGTCATTATATATATATATATATAACATACCTATTAACAGGACATTTTATAATATAGCATTGTTTTTCATCCAGTATTAAAGGGGAATGCTGTATACAATTCCTCCCCCCACACCCCCCAAACTTCATTACTAATTTGACTAGACATTCTTTACTGGTTAAGGTAGGCATTCTCTTTTCCATGTTGTCTGTGTACTGAGTGAGTGTGTTTCACCAGAACTGGAACTGTGGACTTGGGTACTATTAGTGGTATGAACAAAATAAGGGCTAACTGAGAGTTGCCACTGATATCCAGGGCAAACCACTCTCGATTCCACCCCCAGAGAGCATTATTGTTTCTTTGAGAGATTTGTGACACTTCCTATTTTTGGATGGGACTTTCTAAAGCCTGTGGATAGTAACAGTAATTGCTCATCATAATCACATAGTTTTGGGAGCTGCACAAATCTATCACATTTTAAAACACCACTTAATGCGATATATATGGAGTGCAGTTTTTAAGTTTCATAGGTTCTAGAATTACAAATTAGTTAATTTTAATCGAAACATGTGAAATGTTATCCTGGCTGGATATAAAGGCTGACTGTGCTGGATCCTCTGGGTTTGTTTTGTTTACTTTGGCTGCAGGCACACTCAGCGGTTTGGGAGATAGTTGTTCTTCTACAGTATAACAGATGTTTGTCTGAAATGGTGAGGAAGAAACAAAAACAACATTGTGTGAAGGAGAAAAAATACACAGTTTTAAACTATTGCTTTGGTATTAAGGATTGGAATTAACCTTGATGTAGAGTTTCTCTTTTGTTATCATTTTTACTGTTTAACATTACAAACCTTAGGATTTTAACTGTATTAATAATTAAATCACAAGTTATATGCTGATATGATTGGAATTTAGAAGAGATTTCATTTTTTTTCTGAGCTGGGGTAATGTAAATGTTGGCAGTAGCTTTCACAAAGCACAGATCACCTAGTAGTGCCAATTATGCTATTGAGCTAGGAGACCGCATTTTTAGTAAGAGCAGTTGGTTCTTATAATAATCTAACTATAATAAAAGAAAAAACTTAAAAAGTTTGCATATTTGTGCTGTTTAGAATGTTAAGAACTGTGGGAGGGTTCATGCGTTTCCTGATATATTTTTGCATTTAATAAAAATCTGTTCTAGGTTCTTTTTTCATAAACCTGAAGAGTACAGTGACATATATTGGTTACACTGTATAAAATGTGTGTAACAAAATGTCATAGAGAGCACAATGTGCCCTTTTGTAGGTTCATATCTATAATGTTCAAACAGCCTGACTGTTTCCCTTCATCTGAACTGCTTTCATCTGGACCAGTGTAAAATAAGCTCTGGTAAGTAATCACGGCAGAGCAGAAAGAAAGGAATGTATACAGCAATAGACAGCCTAAGCTGTAAAAACTGTAACCTGAGTACCAGCAGCAGATCAGATATCATGGCTTCAAGGTAGGGGAAATGAAAGAGATGAAGGGGAGGAAAAGACGAGAGAGGGAATGGAAAAGTCAGCTTGGAAAGTGAAGGAGTAGTAGGAGGGCCCCCTCAGGGAAATTTGGCTCAGGGATTAGGGAATTTTATCATGGTGTACAGTGACCTACTCAAGTTTCAGCCCACGTTGGATCAAATTGCTTCCCTTTGCTAGCAGAAAGAAAAAGTACTGGTGTATATGTGATTTTTTTTCTTTGGGTAATAAAAAGGCCATTGGTACAAGTGTCTATTTTAAGTTCAGCAAATGCAAGGCACTATGAATGAGCAATAAAATTACCTCATCACAAAGACTTCCTTCATGATTTGCTGTTTGATATAGTTACATATTTACTCAAGAATGATTACTAAACCCAAACTGCTCGGTTTTCGTAGGTTGCATCAGTAATGTCACTTCCAGCTCAGTTTTAATATGATTGGAAACTTGTGTTGCTTGCTGTTTCATTATGCCAGATATTAAGTTACATTTTTGTTATCCCTATCCCAATGTACATGATGGTTGTAACAAATTTAAATTTGATACAACATCGTATGCAAAAAAAACCATGACTCTGCATAGTTTCCCTATGTTACGTTTCAATTAAAAATATTCAGATAAAAGTGTTTTGTTTCACTGTGACCTTCACAGTCTCTCTCTTTTCCCTAATTTATTTTTATGTCCTTCTTTCTTATATTCTCTTCCCCCCCCTCAGATTATACTTTCTACTTATCTTCAGAGATGTGTGTTCATATGCCAACTAGAAAAACAACAAATTGTTATTCTGAAACTAAGTCAGTGTCATTTATCACTTTGGTACTTTTCAGTGACTATTATGAATAATACAACATGTATTCTATTCAGGAATATAATGTAATCAAGGCAATCTGACACTTTTAATAACTAGTTTAATTGTTACAGCCTAATCAATACAATAGTCTAAAGACTTGGTACAGCTCTATACCTCATTCCTTCCCCCCCTCTCCACATATTCCCTCTACCCACACTTACTTTATTGTGCTATACTATTGGGGATAGCAGGAAAACTTAAGAATGTGAAAAAGGTGATTTGAAATATATTTTGTTAAATTTGCTAGAATAAATTAATGTGATTGCATCAAGCATAGTGTGCTGGAAGCTCTGGTAAACAAACAAGACTTAATTTATCTACATGTTTAGATTCTTTGTCAATTGCACAGTTAGCGATTAATCTGTGTTATAATTTCACAGAGCTGCCTCCATGTGCCCTAGGAGTTTACCATCTATAAATATTCTCAATAGTAATTTGTACCTAAAATTGGGCTTCATTCCTGATGCCTAGCACTTAAGACATCTGTTATAGTTTAACAGTAAACTCATCAAAAGATTCTTCAATTTAGTTTTTTTAATATTCCCCGTATTTAAAAGGATCACTGTCAAAATGTAACAGACACTGCAGCACTGACTGCATTTGAAATGAGCCAGATAAGTGTAAATATTAAAAAGATCCCAGGGAAACTCCTCCCTTCTCTCCTGAAAAGCAAAAATGTGTTTGTAAAAGTAAAATCAGATAGCCTTTATCAATTGTACTATTCCAGGTCACTGTTACTATACCGTTTTTATGGAAGTAGATTTATGAGATATCTACAGAGTGAATTGTATTATCTGCATGAGAGACCTGCACCTATCCTCTTTAATGGAGTAAGAGGTCTGTGTATTAACTGTTTATACAAATGAGGTTGATAAAGCCCACCTTACAACACTAATAAAGGGGTGGCTGAGTGAGAAAAAAGGAAATTAAAGAAAGGTCAGGAAAATTTACTTATTGACAGCAACACTACTTATTGACAGCATAATATTCAAAATGGTGGCAATGCAAATGAGCAGAGAAAATGTGGACTGGAAAAAAGTGATCAAGTTCATGTGGTGAATATGCCCACATTTTAATTTCCTTTATATACCTGAGGTGAATCCTCAGTGCTGTATATCTGGTGGGTCACTCATGCAAGGAAATGGAATGGAGCCACTCTGCTTCCTCCAAAATGTGAAATAAACATTCAACAGTAAAACCTAGAAGAAAATTAGTCTGACAGACTCATTCTCTTTTGTGTTTCCTGCCTCTGTCTTTGCCAGGCCTCACTCTATGAGGCCAGGCCTGCCCCTGTGAATAAGGTTCATAGAGAAGGAGAGAAAATAGAGAGAAAATTGAAGGAAAAAACACCATTTTGTTTTAAAATATATCCATTAGTAAAAATTTGGGAAAACTCTCCTCTGTGAAGTAAGGTCAAACCTTAGGTATGTGATTACAGTGAAATGAATCCTGTAAAGGGAATCAATGTTAATGGAGATAAGATTTCTGTTGCCTCATATCATTAGTCTCATAAAAGAAATCACAGATAGTCAGATCCACAAAATCTTCTTCCCTCTTCCTATGAATGAGAAGTAAATTCACTTCAAATTACAATCTAACATAATGATCCAGTTTTTCGAAGAGGGAGATAGGAGGGTATTTATGTTTTTGTCAAGAAAAA